GCAGCAGCCGCGTCAACCCTAAATTTTACTGTTGGGGGTCACCACAACTTGGCAAATGTTACCAAGGGGTCCCGGCCCTAGAAAGGTTGAGAACCACTGCTCTAAACCCCTAAGTCACTTATTGTGTCCTGTTGTGATTGGGAGGAAAGAACCACAGCGTGGCATGGGGACACAGAAATCTGACTCTCCTGGTAGTGTTGAATCCCAATTCTTATGGAGAGTGGGTAGGAGATATGCTGATAGAGTATAAAAGGTCTTATGTTGCATGAACCTTTCATCTGCATTTTGGTTTTTCTAACCTAACAGGGTTGTATGACCGTATTTGGAAAGGGTCCATAATGGTGTTTATCTCTTGCAGCACAATAGATGCGGAAATTAGTGTGCAGCTGTGTGGGGAGATCAGGGCCTACCCATGAGGCCATTTTATATGGTCACCGCACATCTCCAAATGAGTACCTTCATGCTACCCTGTTTCCCTGAAAATAAGAACTACCCCGAAAGTAAGACCTAGCACTATTTTTCAAGACTCCTGTAATATAAGACCTACCCTGAAAATAAGACCAAGTTTGGTGGTAGCATGTGAGGGGGAACTTGAAGAGCAGGAGAGTTGGTATCAGCTTGCAGGGACATACTGTATTAAGGGGATGACAGTTGGTATTAGCTTGCAGGGACATACTGTATTAAGGGGATGACAGGGGACTCCCTCCGGCCTGCACAGTGACAGGGAGCACTCCAGTACCATACTTCACCAACTGCTGTCCCCCTGAAGGCACTGCTTAATGTAATGGTACTGTACTGTATTTTGTACCGGTAAATGGTACCGTACTTTACTGCGCTGTCCACTGTCTGAGGCCCCCATGCTGCACCGCTGGTACAACCGTCCCTGATGGCAAAGCATGCCAGCGCTGTAGAAAGCATGCAGAGGGAACAGAGCCGCATTAGCAGATACTTCCTCTATAGCGCCAGTTAGGCTGGGTTCCCACCTGGGCGCTGTAAAACGCTCAACATGTGAAAAACAATTATTGCCTATGGGCATGGTTCCCACCTGGGCGTTTTACAGCGCGTAGGAACGCGCTACAAAACGCCCTAAGAAGTACAGGAGCTTCTTTGGGGCGTATTTGTCACGCGTATCCATTTGGATACAGGCAGGTAGCCCTTGGAAAGGCGCGTTTGTCTTACCGCAAACGCGCATATTGCATACGCCCAGGTGTGAACCCAGCCTTACTGTGACAGGCAGAGTGATACCAGATAACGTTTGGATTGTTGTACATTTTGTTGCACAGTAAAAAAATAAGACATCCCCTGAAAATAAGACCTAGTGTGTTTTTTGGGGGCAAAAAATATATAAGACAGTGTCTTATTTTCGGGGAAGCACGGTATACAGCAGCCTCTCAACCAGTGTGCCATAGCACCATTTTGTGGTGGTGGTGGTGGGACTGTGATGTAAAGGGGGAACTCAAACGTGAAAGAGGGGCTCCTGCTGCAAAGAGGTCAGGGAATCTTGATTTGAAGTGGTCACTTTAATGTGATGGAGAGGGGAAGCCACTTTTTTGGAATGTTCTTGCATGGGGTCCCTCATAAAATCACTAACATTTTAGACTGCGGTGCCTCGAGATTGTGCATACTTTTACAGGGTGCCATGACTCAAAAAAGGTTGAAAAATGCTCCTCTGCAGAAGGATACATAGACAGGATTTGTTGAAGGGACAGAATACTGTTTAGGTGGGGCACAGCTTTAATGAGCGTGGTTCAGAGACCCCACTGGGACATCAGACATGCAATAAACTGCTAAACCTATACTCTTGTGGCCAAGACCCCGAGGGTGCTAACTTCAACAAATCCTGTCGAGGAAGACAGAAAAGGATGGCAGCAGACATTGCCAACTATCTTTACTATCCCTTTTGTACACGGTACTAGACCCAGCAAAGGCATGTGTAGTATATAAATTTAGGGTTCATGGCACTGGCAAAAAAAACAAAAACATATAAAACAAATGGCTGGAAAGGAAAAAAAAGTAACCGGTTAACACTTTATTATTGGAACACAATCAAAACTGTGCTTAGCTTTCATTTAAAGTACAGGATTTCACAGTTCCCATGTTGGGTGAGTCAATTGTTGGAATCTTAACAGGCGATTGAGCTGGCTGCATTCTGAAACCCAGTTT